GGGGGGCTGGACCAGGTTGGGGGTCTGATCGTAACCCCCACCCTTCCGGAGTGTTGTTTTGTATGCAATCTTNAAGGCCTCATCTGCACTCTCCTTAGTCAGGCCCGCTTTCGCCTTTGCAATATCAAGGGAGAGCTCCCACCAGGGATGGTGTGCAGGTGGCGGATTATCAACATTCCACCCTTTAAGGTTAGGCAGTTGTTTCCTCATCTTAGTGTCGTCCTGGAAAACCCTTTAGTTATGGCCTGAGCTCGGGTATTATTGATGGCCAGAGACAAGTATTGTTTTCATGTCGAGAAGATCTAGGTCAGGAGCTGATTGGAGTGCTTAAAGCACTCCATTAGCTCGACATGGTAATGCTCGAGAATGAAAGATCTGGAGACCAAGGAGAAAAAGAAGACCTGACCTTCATTGTGAGCTTGCTAAACCCGTTCATCCACAAATGCATTAAGTATGCCCAACTCGGCATCTTTAGTAGCTCGACCTCGGAAGAGTCGCCTGCTATGGCCTCTTGCAGGACAAGTGCCAGGTCGGCCAGCGTCTATAAGGTTGATAATGAAAAACAACTGAGTTGTGTTCTTAGATGAGGATAACACAAACAGGTAGAATAAATAAGGAGTTTTTTAGGATTTTAGGCGTGAGACGTGCGGGCAGAGTAGATGGGAATGTGAGTGAACAATGAATTATGATTTCCTAATTACTTATTAATAGGATAAATCGGTTATAAGAAAACCGATGTGCAGAGGATTAATATTTTCATATGACACAATATTGGTTTAAATTACTTAACATATCAATATGAAACATCGATTTTTAAAATCGACACGCTTACAACATCGGTTATTAATAAATTGTTGTGACAAATAGTAATTATTGATTTATTACATTAGTTTACAATCTAATTATTTCACTTCAAAAAGTGCGAAGGTTTTTTCGAATGGTTTATGTAATTATCGCATATGACTTGTATAATTGTCGTATAATTTATTGGCACTGTAACTTTTTCCACCAAAAAGGATATACGAATATCTTCGCACTTTTAACTTTTGCACAGTATTATCGCACAATCTTTTCGTACCTTTTTTAGAAACAAAAAATTAACTTTAACAACGGATGATGCAAAATTTTCAATAAATCGCTAGAAGGGTCAAAAAGACTTTTTTCACAATATATTATGCCTTTGGGCTGGCAAGAATTTTCTTTTAGGAAACCTCACTCTTTTTTATTGGTAGCACTTCTATCAATAATAAACTTCCAAAAGCAAAAAGATAAACCTTGACTTTGGAGTACATCGATATTGCAATTTCTTGCTTGCATGTTCTTTTGGCCCTCCAACATATCGTGTGATAGTAAATCAAACAATAACCCAATTTCTTGCATGAATGTTCTTTTGGCCCTCCAACATATCGTGTGATAATACATCAAACAATAAACCTTTTTTTCTAAGAATCAATTTATACTGGAGGCACCTTTGGACATGGACCCCATTGCTTGACAATATTTGTTATGTTTATTCCACCCATGTTAATGTTACATACGTAGTGAAATGTGAAACTTTGTGGGGGACTATCTAGAGTATGCAAAACATGGGTAATTTATATATTTATTAATAAAAAAATAATAAGTGGACAAAAAACAAAAAAAAAGGGGGAGAGTGGACCAACATAGAAAGCACGTATTTCTTGAATACGTTTTTTGTATAATTTAATTAAAAAACGTATTCCATGAATACGTTTTTTACATTTTTTTTTTACAAAGGAACCCATATTCACGGAATACGTTTTTCAAAAAAAAAAATTCAAAAACCATATTCAAGGAATACGGCNATAATAATAATAATAATAATAATAACAATAATAACAACAACAAATTGTCGTTGGACTCTCTCCTAAACATACCAACAACACTATATGAGGAACGTCATCAATATATACACATTCGAATTGTTAGAATATCACTTGTGAGTTGTCCCACATCGTTCATATATGGAAAATAGACCCACCTTATAAGACTAATGGGCTACTTCTCCTTCCACCAATTGGTTTTGGGATGGAACCTCATTTGGGCTTCATATGGGCTTTTCCCTTCTTTCATGGTGTCCTTCATGGTAGTGGGCCAGCACCCATTTCCCCCCAGTTTCTGTCATGGTATCAGAGTCGGTTCTATCTTGGACCGTGTGATGACGTACCCATTGTTTATCCCCCACGTACCCGTTTATGGGAGTCTGTTTGTAGTAGGGCTTTGGGCACCCAGCCCAGTTGGGCTTGGGCTTTCGAAGGAATCACAAGTGACGGGGCGTGCTAGAATATCACTTGTGAGTTGTCCCACATCGTTCATATATGGAAAATAGACCCACCTTATAAGACTAATGGGCTACTCCTCCTTCCACCAATTGGTTTTGGGATGGAACCCCATTTGGGCTTCATATGGGCTTTTCCCTTCTTTCATGGTGTCCTTCATGGCAGTGGGCCAGCACCCATTTTCCCCCAGTTTCTGTCACGAATTTTTATTGAAAATAAATCCTAACGCATTTTGAATCTATAGTTAAGATTAGAACTTAAGGTTTAAAATTTTGCCGACTCTGAGACGTTTTTTATTTCCTCTGTTGGAGATCGTCTGAACCTCAGAGTCCGTTGGGCAGTCAGACTTCGCCTCGCCATCGCCGAAACTCGAGCTGGGCCGCGAATACTCGCTGATGGATCGTGCTGGGTCGAAGAAAACGCGCGGGCCAACATGCGGGCTCGCGTGCTGAAGGTTGTAAGGGACGTGGGTCGTGCGGGCTGGATACTGTCCGCATGCTGTTTCTTTTTGTCGCACTGGGCTTTGCTCGATGGATTGCGTGTACTGGGCTAGAAACGGGTTGCGCACATTGGACTTCTGTACGCGGATTGGGTCCTTGTTCCTTGGACTGGGTTGTACATCCTGGGACGGACTGCGCGTTGGGAGAATTCTTGGACGGGCTTTATGCTGTTGACACCTGCTTGGGCCTGGGCGCAGATTGAATGTGCTGCTGCAAGCCTGGCCGCGCTGGGTGGATTTTGACGGGACGCTGGACGTCTCCTAATATAAAAAATATTATTTATGATTTAAATATACATATATTACTTTGTGATCAAGAAAAAATAATGTAAAATATTATATGAAAAAATTATAAATTCTAATTATATTTTTATTATTCAAATAATTTGATAAATGAACAGTAATATTAATTAATATATACATTATTAAAGTTTTTTAATGTTGAAATGTGCACAACAAAAATGATAAAAAGAAAAAAGTAATGCATATTTGTATAGATGAGAGTGCACATTATCAATTTCGGTATTTTATTATGTTTTTCAATCAATAATAATATAAAAAATATTAAATAGATTATTAAAATATAAATGTATTTTTAATATAAGTAATACATTATTTTAATTAGGGTGATTCGATAAACCGACCGAATAAATCAAGCAATTCGGTTTGGTTTCAATTTGGTTTGGGACAAAATTTCTTCGGTTCGAACTGCATAATAATAACATAAACCGTGCACAATAGTATAAGACGAATTGCATATTAATAATTGTCGGACTGCACAACAGCAAACAACCCGACCAAAATAAAATTTTTGATTTGATTTTACATATTTCAACCCAATTGTCTATTTTTACTTTAAAGATTTCGATTGTTCCGATACAACATCGGCTTTATTTTTTCTAAGAAAAAAAACCATTACAAAATCGACCGGACCATATAAAAAGTTGTTATTAATTTATTATTAATTTAATATATATTTCAATTCGATTTTATTTTTATTTGTGACAAAAGTTCAATCAATTTGGTTCACTTATTAATATTGTGCAAATTACTAATTAATATTGTGTAATCTTAAATTTTTAAAAATTGTAATTTTAACCCATGAACTAAATTGAAATAAAACTATTTTTCTTAATTTGCAAATAGATCCATATGATTTATCTAATTACCAAACTCAAGCCCCCAACTTATTTCCCATGCAGCCTCCTCATTCTTCACCCAAACCGGCGTTGCTGCCTTTCCACGCGACCGTTGGGACATGTGCTAATGACCGTAAGATGATACCAGAGATGGCAACCTCAAAATCGGAAATCATATTCAACTTGATTACTGAATTTGAACTTTAGGGATTATAAAATTGGGGCTTGATTTTTATTGACAGAGACGACGATTCAATACGCAGAGCGAAGGAGATCGAGATGAACATGTATATGATGTCGACGACAATGGCTTGATAGTTGGACGCCAGTGATGTCAGCCGGCGGAGAAGTTGTTCATCAGCGGCTCGGGATTCTATGAGAATAGCAGAAAATAAGACACACAGAGAGAGAGGGAGGGAGGGAGAACGACAAAGTCGTCAACCGGAGGCTTCCGGTGGCGTGCGGTGGCGGGTTGGTTGACTGAATTGTATGGCAATGGTGATGTATGTGTGTGAAGGGTTGGGAGTTGGGAATTGGAGTAGGGGAAGAGTTAGTGGAGGGGCCCACTATTAGGTGAAAATATATAAATGCCCCTTAGCTTTATATCTTGATCATAAACTTTACCAATATTTACTAAAATGTCACCACGAATTAACCAATAATGGACTTCATCCTAGTCGTTGCAACAACATATCAAATAGTCCAATTAACTGTCATTTCTTTCATTGTGCTCCTTTCTAATTTGAGCGCACTTCTATGAAAATTATTATGTGCAATATAATTCTGATACACGTTCATGTGATCCCTTATTAACTTGAACGTTGGAGGTTTACAGTCGGAACACTTACGGAGCTTTTTGCAGGTCCACGAAGGTCATTCAAGTGTCTATTTTATTGTTTTTCTGTGACTCTCCCACCTTGATTCAATCATGGTAATTCAAGTATGCATATGTATATACATTTTTTGCAAGCATGTACACTTTTCTCAACTGTGTCTACTCTCCTGTTTGTACAAGACAGTGACAACTATCTATCACCAGCATAAATAATATTCCTTCCCCTTGCCAGTTGCCACCCAAACTGAACCATCCATTACTTGTGCCTTTCTAAAAAAAAGCTCTGAATTTCTTCACCATTAGCTAGCAAGGTGGGAAATAAAAAAGAAAAATGAAAAGAAGAAGCTCCACGATGAAAAGGTCGAATTCTTCATCGCCCATAGAATTCCCAACTTTGGCTGAGGCAACAGGTGGAAATCAAGAGATAAGTCATTACAGCCACTCCAAACACCCCTTAACCGAAATAAGTACGCCCGAAATATTCAGGTGCAGTGGTTGCAAGGAGTATGGGGCCGGCAAGAGGTTTTCCTGCCGCCACTGCGACTTTCAGCTACACGTCTTTTGTGCCTTGTCTCCTCCCATCTTCAATAACCATCCTCTGCACGCCCAACATCAGCTTGTTTTCCATTCTAAACCCAGATCAGGTCTACTTCTCTCACTATATTCCTTTTCATAAATTACAGTATATTGCCTTATATTTTCTTTTTAACTTACTAGTAATTAATATGCGCATATCTTAATAAAATATTATTAGTCATATATATGTATATTATGTCTAAAATCATAAGTTATACAATCGGAAAAATAGTAAATTATGTCATATTTACAAATATAAAATGTTGTGACCAATTAATTAGTCGATAAAAATTATCACTGTTATTATTGTAATTGTTCACACGTTTTTTAAAGAGTTTGCTATGATATTCTAACCAATTAGTTATCTAAAAATTGCTTAATGAGATAAAATAAAAGGATAATATTTATTATGAAATAAATACCTTCAGGAATACAAATATTCATACAACATTATTCATAATTTCATAAAAGCCATGAAAAAAACATTATATTTTCTAAACTATTAAAAGTATTACATTTATACACATAGATATATACTTATATCATCACATATTATAAAGTTGAATATGCTTGAATAAATTAATAGATAATAAAGAATGACTATAAATATAAATTATAAGTATACATTAAATAGTGCTACAAACATTTTTAAGAAATTGGAATTAAATTTATGGAGTAGTAGAAATTTAGTTTTAAGCATATATAATTTCGTAAGTGTGAGTGAAAATTGTCTCTAGATATAATTTCCGAATGCGCTGAGCCTAAGTGACAGTCTCGTGTGTTTCATAAGCTTATTTGGCATAAATTTGTGCTCGTATTGACACAGTTTAGGTTTGATTTTGATTATTAGGCTTGAAAATTAACATAAACTATTTTAGTTTTCTTTTTTTTTTTTAAGTTACCATATACTACTCTTACCTTTTTTATTTAATTCATATATTAATTATTATAAATATGTAGCTTTTATTTTTAAAATTAAATAATCATTTTATTATTTTTTCATAAATTTTGGATAGAAATGAAAATTATGTATTACATAAAATAAAATTTGAGAAATATTATAAAATATTATTTCTCAATTTAAAAAGATATAAAAAACTGAATGTTATTATGTTATTTAATATAGCAAATATAAAAGAGTATCATAATTAAATATAATAAAGTAATTTTATAATTCATAAAGTTAGAAAATAATCTACGTACATTCTAAATTATTAATTATATGAATTTAAAATACTTGAAAAATTAATCGACGTGAGGCACTGACTCTATAAATATAAAATATAATCACAATACAATAAAACTTGTTCTATTTTAGAAAAAAAAAATGAATCGAATATATGGAGTTGTAAATAATATTAGTTTTATACATATACATTTCCAAAAATATAATTCAAAAAATACCTTTTTGACAAATTTTGTGTAAAAGCACGGGCACCATTTGAATCAGTTATCACTTTGCTAGTTATTTATTATTTTTGCATATTCAACATCCATAATTTTACAATAAAAATTATAAACTATTTCAATTTTTATTGACCAAAGACTAATAAATTTAAGTACCCGTGTAATACACGAGTATTGTACTAGTTTAAGCTGAGTGTAAAATAGGGGTGTCATTATTTGACAAAAGTTGTGTAGTTGTTGGTCACTTAAAAAGGTTTGTAAAATTGAAGATGGGAAATTAGTCCCTTTAAAATCTATTTATAATAGTTAAAATTGATTTGATTGAACAGCAAAGGGTGGAATGTCGTGGACGAGGTGCGATGTGTGTGGAAAGTCGGTCAAAGGCTTCACCTTGCGGTGCGGAGTATGCAGCTTCACGATGCACCCGTGCTGCGCCATGTTGTCCCCTCACATAAATGTAGCAGTCCACCCCCACACCCTAACCCTACTGCCCACATCATCAGATTCACACTATTACTACTGCACTTGCAATGAGTGCGGTGGTAAGAGGAAATCTAGCCGTGTGTACCGCTGCACGACTTGCGAGGATAATGAGTCTTCTTACTATCTTCATGCAGCCTGCGCTAAGTCTTTCATTAACGGCCTTCAGGACAATGGGATTTTACCAACACCCGAGAGGCCGAGCGCGCTTGGGACTGCAGCCCGCTTGGCTTCGCAAGTTGTGATTGAGTTCATAGGAGGATTGTTTGAAGGGATTGGGGAAGGTGTGGCTGAAGCTTTGCTACAGAATATGATGCCAAGGGGAAGAAGGCAACTTCACCGAAACTGATTTTAGACTCTAATGTTTTGCATTTTTATTTCTCATCTATTTATCTATGAACCAAACCTTAATTAGCTTTTGGATATTGTTTTGCATTTTTATTTCTCATCTATTTATCTATGAACCAAACCTTAATTAGCTTTTGGGTATTGGAAATGCATGCATGCTATGCTGTTAGTTCGGAATTTCAAATCAATACTAGTACAATTCCAGTGTACTAAAAATTATTGCTAAAACAAAAATTTTATTTAAAAATTTGATGGATAATTGATGAAAGAAAAAAAAAAGAAAAAAAAAAGAAATAAACAATGCAGAAATTGATTTGTAAATCATAATTTAGGAAAGAAATATGAGACAAAATCATAAGTTGATGACATAGCTACTTGCCCAAAATGTGTACTAAGAGAAAAAAAAAATAACAAAATTAAATATAAAGTTATTTATGTCTAATACCAAGCCTAATTCCAATGCAAAAATGAATATACAAACAACGTTACGAAGCATAGATTTTCGCCATGTCAGCATCCGAAGCGTGCGAGACTACCACTTAAGCTCAAGTTTTGAATCAATGCTTTACTCAATGCCTCATCAACAAAAACAAACTTACAATTCAATTCATTACATGCACATCAAATAACTATCACGCAAAAATAAAATAACAGATTGCCTATATTCAGTTACACAATTTATCTTGTACACAAACAAACTCCTCACTTCATCTATACTGTAAAATGGAAAACCTATCATATTTTTACAGTAACCATAATATTATTACACAGACATAATTATAATTACCTGTGAAAAGGCATAAACCACAGTCCATTGCTAACTGCTCCTTTAACTTCACTCTTAACACCTTCATCTTCAAGGTTTGTCAGATCAGCCTTTCATGCAAAACCCACAGACTACTCTACTACATTGCGCCAAACTGCAGTCTATCCCAATCAATACTCTTCCCACACCCAAAACGTGGGTGTGATCTCATCAGCAAACACACACACACACAAACGGCAGCAACAACTAGCATCGAGTGTATGTACGGCCTTTGAAGCAGGCCTTTCGAGCACCTAAACTGTTTAATGTACCCATGTGATGCAATAACTGCACATCTCGAACAAGATTTCTGTCTTTTGTTAAATTGGAGAACGTTGTTCTCCGTAACTGACTCCACTTGCAACGGCTCAATCTCCTCTTTAATTGATACAGATATTTGGCCGTTTTCTTTCTCTGCTAGCTTCCGGGCAACAAGGGCATTGTACGAATGATTGTTCCTCATGGAGGCATATGCGTATGGCGAAAGCCCGTTTGCGTCTAGAACAGAGTTCCAACTATGCAATCCAACCTACAGAAAAATTCAAATAAATAAATAAGGGCGTGCTTGTTTACAAATAAATCCGCTGAAAATGAGTTTTTTTTTTGGTGAATCATGGTTAATTATGAAAAATGTGTTATAGTTAGTTGTTAGTGGGATTTTAAGATTATATTATAATAATATCTGAAATAAAATAATTAAAGTTGATTTGTTGTAAAAATATAAGAAAGATTATGTGAAGTGATGGTTAGTTAAAATTATGTGAGTGGATGAATAGTGAATTAAAGTTGATGTAATGAGTAAGAATGACTGGTTTGTATTATTTAATTATATTGATAATATTAAAGATAGTGAGATTGAGTTAAAGTTGAGTTGCCCTAAACAATCTCCTAATAATGAAAATTCTACAAGTTTTAGAAATAGTGGACGTACCTCTTTTGCATCGTTTGTCAATGCATCAACAATATCATCCGAAGACGATGTACAAGCAGCCAAATGCAAAGGGGTGATGCCACCTGGCCCAGCCATATCAGGTACGAAAATGAAATTCTTGGAATTATCAGTAGAATCAACAACAACAGAGTAGTTAATGAGCAAATCAACCATGGCTCGACACCTCCTCTTGACCGCGCGGCTCAAGAGGTGAATTTCAGACAGCATCTCCAAAGACTTTCTTACCAATCCTTCCCTACCAACATTCAGTTCTACAAGTATTCCCAACAGGGTTTTAACCAAAGCGCAAAAGTCATGCTCGACAGAAAATATAAGAAGAAACTTGAACCGACTAAGCCTATAGTCAGGGATCCCGAATAAGAACGAGTTGTGCTTTCTCTGAAACAGCCAGCCGAGTTCGTTTAGGAAATGGAGGATTTCGAGATTAGCAGTTCCGTTAATTTCGGATTCGAGGAGTCTCAATTCTTGGCAGATGGCTTTATCTGCTATTATTACCGGGAAACTAGTTGTTCTTGATTTATTTTCAACCTGTGAACACAAAATATAAAATTAATTTATCCAGAACCCAATGCATTGTCAACATATTTGTTTGATAAAGCACTACCTCAATGAAAAAGCGTCCGAGCATGCCTGATGAGGAATTAACCTTGAATCCGACCAAACTAATCTCATCATATGCGGTGGTGTCTTGGTATGATGACAAAGGAGCCTCCTTTATTTTGAACTCAGCAGCATGTGTACAGTGTACCCTGCATTT